AGGCCCATGCTTGGGCTACGTCACTGGATCGTGACGGTGCCGGAGGACGAGAACGGCGAGGCCGGGTGCCGCGGCACCGCGTTGGCCGCAACCGGTGAAGGGGGCGAAGAAGGGCGGCTTCCCTGGCCCTGGGAGTTGGTGCGGTGGAAGCGGCACTTGAAGGACCCGGCGTGGGTGGCCGGCGCGCAGACGAACTTGGAAGCGGGCCACATCCTCCGCGTATTCTTGGAGCTGTGGCTAGCCGATTTACATGAAATTAATTCCTCAGTTGTGGTGGCAAATATAATACACATAATCCATATTGTTATGCACTAGCGTGTGTGTGAAATAGATTGATTATGGTCCCGTACCCAATAATATGGATATGTATGTGTGTGTGTTAGAGAGAGGGGGGGGGGGAGAGTGAGGAAAAGGGAGGCAGAGAGTGTGTGTGTGAGGATTTGATGGTAAAAAAGGTCGTCAATGTCACTTGATATGTATGAGAATATTAGTATTGAACTCTTAAAGTTAATGTGGCCCCGTTGCAACGCACGGGCGTTCTTCTAGTATTATTTAAGGTGTGGCTGTGCGCGGACGTGTCGGCTTTTAAGGTCGAATTTGGTGTAGCTGTAGATGCTCTCACCGCCCGGGCGTTGGCGGCGGCGGCGCACGAACCAACCAACGAGGCTCGAACGGTCGAACCACGCCGGACCCTGCACGCTCGCCAACGACCAAGGCACGCACGCATGCGCTCGAGTAAATTGCACAGAAGTACCACAATTGGGGCATTGGAAGCAGATTGGTACCAAGTTTTATAATTTTTACGTGTCAGTACCAAGTCTGGGGCTAGACGTTACAAAAAGGTCTAAATCGCGTATAAACGCGTATTGACGGTGTATCTGACCGGCAGGGCCCGCATGTCAGCTGCCGACGTGGCATTTTTTTTGCAGAAACCCCCCGCACAAGGAGGGTCGAGGACTGGCGGCGGCCACCACAGCGAACGGTCGGCGCCGCTGGAGAGGAAAGGGGCGGCCTCGGTGCGGCCTCCAGTGCGGCCAGGCGCGGC